TTTAGGCTATTTGCACAGTCTGACGTCGTGCAAATATAAGTCCTAAATCTTAAATAATTTGCAGGATTGAAACATCAAATAATTATCTCTTCAAAGACATAAAGCCAAACAATAGGATAGTTAGGACATCTCTGGGGTTTCTCCTGGATCTGTGATGTCCCCTACTTTTCTTTCATTTGAATTCCTTAAATAATTGTTCATATTTTGAGCCATTCCCATTTGATTTTCCCATGTCCAATCGTGAAAACCTAAACTTTGAAATCTTGAAAACAAAACCACCTGATCTTAATCGAGAGTTTTCTTAAGTGATTTCGATCATTTAAGATGTAATTAACTATAGGGGCTTGCCTCTATAGGGAACCAGGAACCCAGATAAAATAAACCCTATCTAATTTTTTATGTTAGATAGGGGAACTTGTTGGCCTTTTTATAAAAATATTTCACAGACCAAACGGATGTCACAAATTCTTTAGTCTGGGTGATTGAATCCCTATTACAAGTGATACATTTATGTCTTTGGGATAAGTGTATTACCTGTAGTATCGTATTCACTCGTCTAAACTATTTAAAATATGAGACCCGTTTGGTCTCACCTATTTTAAATTAAAATGTTACTTCTTAAAAAAAAAAGTTATATTTATATTTAAATTATTTTTTTTCAAAATCACAAAAATCATCACCTTTTCAAACTACGAAAGTCAAGTTGAACATAAAAACGGCCGACACGCTAACAGCATTCTTCACTCAACAAGCCATAAAAACAGTCGCAGTGAAGAAGCCCTCATTTGTTAGTCTGATGGCAAAACTATCAAATCCTAAGCCTATTCGACTTGAGAAGTCCATGTGGACTAGATTGTGGAATTTTTCTTGATCAACCAAAAGTCAAAGAAAAATAAAAAAAATGAGCGTCGCTCAAGAAAACATCAAGCTAAGCTCAATGTTTTGTTCAAATCAAAAATGAATCAAATCTTTTCAAATAGTTTGATCAAGCTTAAGGCGCAAACTAGATGAATTCACTTCCTCAACAAGCCCATTAAAGCAAAAAACTTAGAGTCAAAGGCGTTATCCCATAGTTCGTTCAAAGCTAGATGTTGAACTAAGGGGATTTAATCATAGACGAGTTCGATAAAGCACTAAGCATAGAACTGACTCAATAAAAGTCTGAAGACTAGGTCCGACATGCATCCTTCAACAAGTCCGCCAATGCACAAAGCTAAGACCAAAGTTGTGTTCACTCACCTCATAAGTTCGTAGTGACAATTCAGGTCAATTCCTTCAACAAGTCCGTCAATGCATAAAACAATGACTGAAAGCATGCTCACTTACCTGACAAGTACGTAGAGGCAATTCAGGTCATTTCCTTCAACAAGTCCATTAAAGCACAGAGCTAGGACTAAAGGTATGCTCATTCACCTGAAAAGTCCATAGAGACGATGCAGGTCAATTATTTCAACAAGTCCCTCAAAGCATATAGCTAGGACAGAAAGTCAATTTCTTCATTAAAATCCATCTAGCAAAAATAAAGTGCAAAAGACAAGCTCAATCTACTATCCAGATAAGTGACAAGTAAGAGGTGACGTCAACTGAAGTTGGTATAAAATGTTATAAGCTTGTATATTCAACTTAAAATTTATAATTTGTGTCGACATCCGAGATTTTTCTCAGAGATCCACAAAGTTAAAATCTCAGCGTAACATCCAAATAAATTTTTGGAGATCCGCATGGTTGATCAGTTACAACAAACATGAATCATTTCAAACGCGCACCATATTTGTTAGGAAGCATTTGTTGATCATAAGAAATTAAACAAAAAAAGAAATAAATTATGTTAATTGAAATTGAATTAATTAAATTAAATATCTATTTAATCTCGCCAAAGACCCCCCCCCTTCGAAAAAGCAATTGTTCTCGCTTCCCTATGGTTACAAGCAGACGAAGATTGACACTTTCCCATTCATTCGCACTTTCTCACTCGTCTCTCCCTTTTATTGGCAGTGTTCACGTTTCATGTCTTCCCTCTCTCGTCCTTCTTCTACTCCTTGTTCTGCCACTGTTCAACTCTCTGCTTGTCATCCTCTTCAATTGCAACGAAAAAGTAACTGTTCCTATTTCATTCGCACGATTGCACTTCTTCCTCTTACTCTTCCTCTTCCTCTTCTGCTTTCTCTCCTGTTTAAAACCCAATCTCCCCTATTTTACTTCATGCTTGAATAGAGGGCCGCTCCTCCCTTCACTGTTTAGCACAACTCAATCCCTTTGTCTCACACGTAGAGATTGCTCGCCACACTTCTCTCTCTGCCCTAGCCTTCGTTGGTTTTCTCGAGTTCCCCTTACCTGTGTGCACGAATCGACCACTCATCCCTACCTCACTTGGGATTCGACTAGTCGAAGCTTTGCATCCTCCCTGTAACGGAACAATTCTTCATTGTGCCGAGCCTTCTTATCTTTACGGCGATCTTCCTTACCCCACGAGATCGTCGAAGCCGCCTGCCACTCCTCCCTGTGTGAACTTCTGCCTGACCTCTTCTTTTGGCCGCTCCCAAAGTCATGCAATATGAGCCCCAATCCAAGCCTCTCCTCGGGCATAGAGGAATCACAGCAACAGAGAGGAGGAAAAAGCTCGAAGAGGATCAATCAATAGGATTTGTGACGGCAAGTAGGAGAATTAGGTCGCGTGAAGTGTGGGGCGGGTCGTGTCACTGTGCAGAGCAGTAGTGTGCAAAGACCAAGAGGAGGAATGTCACGGGTTTGGTTCAAACAAGGAGGATTTGGGATCACGCAAGGATTGGGGATCCCGTTGCTACCTTCCTAACTAGCGTTGATCGCGATTGCCTCACAAAGGATTCAGACGAGACAAAGGCTTCAGCGGTAGTTTGAATATAGGGAAGAGACGGCAGAAAACAGTGGTCTCTTACAGGGAGGAAGAAGACCATTGGTGTGAGTTTTCTGTGATTTCTACTCCTTTATTCTTCTTTTTTTTTTTTTTGTTAAAGGAATACAAAAATAAAAAGGGAAGAACAATGGAGAGATTTCAGACATGCGAATGAGTGTGCAGAACAGTAACTCACTCTTTTTTTTTATGAACCGAGAAAACGAACAAAGCGAGGGGGGAACAGTGTGGACGAGCGAAGAAGAACTATGAGGATTTGATCGCAATAGAAGAATGGAGCCTTCGGTTGTTGCGATTTCAAGTCGACAGAACGAGGAGAGGGTAAAAATAGGGAACAATGCAAATGAAAAGATGTGAATGAGACAACACGAAAAAGATTTTTGGGAGAGAAGCGTGCATGAAAAAGTGCGAATCAATCTTCTCCCCTTCGTTCCTCTGATTATAACTGACGGGAGAGTGGGGGGAACAATTATATCACTCAAGCGGGAGAACTTTGGCAGGAAGAGGTCAGCAAGTAATTAATTAATCTAAATAAATAATTAATTAAGTTATTCATTTGTATGCGCATATATTTTTTTATTTTTTTTCCTTTCTCTTCTTTTTTTATTTTTTTAAAACATACGGTCAACACCAACTAGGCTAAAAATATAGGTCCCCCAGCTTTTTTCCGCATTTATTCCTTTAAGCCCCACTCAAACAAATCTGTGTACCCTACCAACAAGAGCAGAAGATTAAAAAAAAAATACAAGGAAACAAAATTTTACCTGTAGACCAGCCTGAGCAAGAATTGTGGTGATAGGTTGCCTCCAAGACTGATCAATATCACATAAGATCAAGTTCTGGTTGGGAGTAAGTCGCACGCTTAAATTATATTTCTCAATTATTTCTCTCAAAGCTTTCTTCATTGTACCTCGAATACGCCCATTATCAACATGAACCCCACAAAATAAAGCACCATCACCCTGTAAAACAATGTCCACAGAAATCATCAAAGCAGAAATTAAACAAGCAAAAGCCATATTGAACAAGTACAAAAATGTGCATCATTCAAAATACATATAATATAATGCAGATACCTGCTCATGCCATCCCAAATAACTCTTAAATTCCCACTCAGGTAATTCTCTGAATGATTCAAATTTTTTTCCATAATACTGCTCGACTACACCGCGGAATTTTTCAATTCCCCATTCACTAATTAAATACTTCATTCTGCTATACTTTCTGTCATCCCTTCTCCCATTTTCTCTCTGAGTAACAACTATTGCCTTCACAGCATATAATATATCTTCTTTTGGTACATAACCGAGGGGTTCTCCCAGACGAGGGAAAGTCGTATCCACCCTGTGAGTTCTTCCCATGCCACCACCAACCTACACTTTCATGACGTCAGCAAACATTCCACAATACAATGACAAAAAAAAAGGTAAGATTTACATAAATACCACTGAATTCCTATGTATTTGCATATCTAACACCAAAACATCAATTTTTAGATACACATGTATGAAAAGGTGTGTTTCACTTTTTAAAAGTTAAAAAGGTGGTATTTTTTAATGTAATATCAATGATTGTATAAATGTAAAAAATAAAGTTTAGGCGTTGCATATGCGAAGATATAAAAATTGGGTGGTATGCATGTGAATGCCCCAAAGAAATGAAGCAGAAAAAAACAGAATATTGAGCACTTACATAAATATTGAAGCCTTGCGGCTCTCCATCACTATCAGAAACTACAACTATGCCAATATCATTGGTTAGAATGTCCACCGAGTTATCCGTAGGCACAGTTACAGCTATCTTGAATTTTCGAGGCAAGTATTGAGCACCATAGATCGGCTCCGGAGAATTCACGAAATTTGTTCCATTGGAGTTGTCGTTTCGAGCTACAACTACTTCCGGAGGCTCTGCAGACATCACCTTCTCGCCATCCACCCAGACATCATAGTATGCACCAGATTGAGGAGCCAAAAGCGAAGCAATATTCTCAGCTGTCTCCTGAGAAAAAACATAATTTTTCTTTGTATATGGTGCTGCCGGGGCAAGAACATTTCTATTCAGATCTCCGCAAGCACCAAGAGTAGACCCCATATTCTTTATGATTGAGCTCATAACAGTTTTGAGATTCTTCTTTAGGATTCCATGTAGCTGAAAAGTTTGTCTGGTTGTTAAACGGAGAGTGCCGATACCGAATTTATCCGCCAGATCATCCATTATCAAGTAGAGCTTGTTTGGGACTTTACCGCAGGGGTTCTTTGTTCGTAGCATGAATTGGTATGATTTTGTCCCACGTTCATCTCTGTTGGTCTGTTGATAACTTCCATGAAATTTAATTAATTGAGTAGCGACTTCATTTATATTGGGGGCCTTAGTTTGTAACTCCTCGTTTAGAGGGAATCTGAGAAAGTTGCTCTGCTCTTTGAACAATTCAACCTTGTTTCGTTTAGCCACAGCAGTATCCGGCTGCAATATGCATGAAATAATGTAAGAAGCATATCGCGGTTCTGCAAAAATTAAATTTGACAGAAAATAATTAAATAAGTTTTCAGATCTTTTCTAAGTGAAATAATATACGTGAAGTAACTTTCATAATAGGAGAATTTTTATTCTTAATAATCTTATTTTTTTTAATTATAAAAAGAATAAATAACAGAAAAGTTCCTTAAACTACCTATGTGTGTTCATTTTAGTCTCAAACTTCTTAATTTAGTCCCTCGACTTATAAAAATAACATTATTTTCTCCTGACATATCACTAGTCTAAAATTGATAGTAACTAGTAGTGAAAGTTATGGGAAAACGGTAATTTTGATCTTTCAAGCTAAAGAATGCACCAGAAATCTTCTTTTGTGTTGATAAAATTAGCTAACAATGATGAAACAGCAAAGATCCTATACAATGATGAGGAGCAAGGAAATGGTGATGACAGAACTACCCCAAAGTTATCCACAAAATGCATACAAAAATTGGCAATACCTTCGTCATTAATCCTCAAGATCAACTTATGTCAATTCAGAAAAGATGAAAAAGAGACCATAACGGTTAAATATAGTAAGTCAAAAGCTAAATTAGGTCAAAAAAAATCTGGAACTAAAATAGCACAACTAAATAGCCTTAAGATCATTTTAGCAATTTAGTCCTGAGGAAATTGCAAAATTAAAGTATAATTTATGGTAGTAAGAGGGCAAATGTTGGCTAGTAAATCATTGAGAAGTGATATGGCAAAACTTAACCCAAATGTGGTAAAATGTGAAAAAGGGTTGAGTAAGACATTGAGCCTCGGCTAAGTTTAGATTTGTTACTTAAAATTTTGAGAGAATGGATAGCCTGGAGAAGTAGGAGGCATAACAATATTCAGATTGAAATTACATAGAACGAGGGAGAAAACCAAAAACATTAATGAAGTTACAGGCTATCATATGTTAAAAAACTTAGAAATAAAATTGAAATAAGAATAGTAATGGATTGAAAATTGAAAGATGAAATTATTGAGATGATTTGTGTTGATGATAAGAAGACTGCAACCAAGTTAATTACAAGTGATGAGATTTCAAATGTATTAGTACTTATGCTCTTTAAATCCGATTAAGGAATGTTTAACAAACTCATTTCAAAAAGAGATGAAAGAACTACAATGTACATATGATGAAGAGATAATATTTCCTGATGGTGACTTAAATGGAAATATATGCCACAATAACTTGGGCTACAAAAAGATTTATAACGGTAAAGGAAAAGGAGATTGAAATAGAATGGGAAGAGAGTTAAATGTATAGTCATATATATTATTTAAATAATTAAAACATATACTATTTAATTAAATTAGAAAGCAGTTTATTTAAATATGAAAAACAACTTTAAACGGATTTTTTTAAAACATTCTTGATAGAAAGCTTAACTATGAAACATAGAGTTGTTATTAATGTGTATCTAAAAACTGCAAAGATACTAGACCAAAAAAAAAAAAAAAAAAAAAACCTTAGTCAAGATGCTGGAATTTGAAGTCAATATCAACAATTAAGTTTTTAAATGAGACGAATTGGAAATAAAAAGTTGAAGAAAGATTACTTTCAAATAAATTTTTTAATTAAATTAAGAATTTTCCTTAAGAAAAATTAAAAGAGTCTATAGACAAATCTTTAACTAGTCAAGAGATTTGGTGCTACAGTGAGCTAAGATTCCTTAAAAATTTTGACGATCAAAATTTGACTCAACTCGAAATTTAGAAGTCTTTTCAGTCTTCACTTCAAAGTCCATATCGATTTTGAGTTTGTTCCAAGTCCCTCAAATATGGTAGGAGTTAACTTGAACTACATATTTTAATAAAATATATAGTGCATACAATATTATATATAATGCGTGATATAGTATTTATATTTATCTATATAATTAACTAGAAAACAATTTCATACACTTGCTGAACAAAAACACACCCCAATACATGTTTGAAACACCATAATCACATTTTAGTGTCCTTTTTTATAAAGTAAGAGTTGACCACTTGCACATCTTCCTAGGCAATGATAGGTGTTGATTGGACTCAATTTCATCTGACTATGGTAAGTTGGTGCTAAGAGGTGTTATCAATCGATCAAACACAAAGATATGAAACACTAGCGATCAATTAGAGAAAGCTTGTGTAGTTGCTTCCATTGAATAATGTATGAAATATTTCTAGATGATGTTGCTTACATTATAAAGTAATTTTATTCAAATTAAGGCTTACTTCTATGATACAAAAGGCATGACTATTTATACATGATGAGACTGTTTTTTGTAAGATAAATCATAAAATAAAAATGCTAATAAAAACATCAGAGTAGGACATAATAACATAATAATTAAAAATAATTTTGATATACTCCTATTATCCTCCATAAGAATAAAAACATAACATGCCACTAAGATTATAATTTTTAAATTCAAAAGCTTCCATCATTCTTATCACTCAATGAACTTTCATTAAAATTATCGACAAAATGATATGCTTTCTCCCTTACCTTATCCTCAATTGTATCCATGTTCTCTTACTCCTTATCCTAAATCTGAATAATCTTCCTCTTATTTAATTAAAAAGAATAATAAGAATATTTATTAAATTTTACAACAAAAACCATAATGATAGTAACAACTTCAATTATATTCTCAGTTGTGTATCATAAGAGTAACTAAGGAATATTTATTAGCATTATTTATTTGTATTCAACAACAACAACAACAACAGCAACAACAACAAAGCCTCAATCCTTACTTGTATTCAGTTTAAGAAAAATCCTAGATAAAATTATACAAACTTACCAAAAGTGAGATGGAGTGCATTTTGAGATGGTTCTCATTTAATGTGAAGTGTAAGCCTCATATAGTACCTAATGAGTTGTAAGTCTTATTGCAATTTTTTTCAAAAAAAAAAATGTTGAAGCTGGCGGCCTTATATTGTACAATTCTAAATCATGGATGACATATTTTTATCACTTCCAACTTGTTTTGAATAGTCAAGAAATTAAGTCTAACAAATGTTAAATGGAAAAAGGGATTGCCATGTACATAGACTACACATGAAATTGAAAAATAATAAATATATTATTTACAAGAATAATATGAAAGATTACACAGAAAAATTTTAGAATACTTGTCCTATTATCCTCCATAAAAATAAAAACATAACATGCCACTAAGATTATAATTTTTAAATTCAAAAGCTTCCATCATTCTTATCACTCAATGAACTTTCATTAAAATTATCGACAAAATGATATGCTTTCTCCCTTACCTTATCCTCAATTGTATCCATGTTCTCTTACTCCTTATCCTAAATCTGAATAATCTTCCTCTTATTTAATTAAAAAGAATAATAAGAATATTTATTAGATTTTACAACAAAAACCATAATGATAGTAGCAACTTCAATTATATTTTCAGCTGTGTATCATAAGAGCAACTAAGGAATATTTATTAGCATTATTTACTTGTATTCAACAACAACAACAACAACAACAACAACAGCAACAACAAAGCCTTAATCCTTACTTGTATTCAGTTTAAGAAAAATCCTAGATAAAATTATACAAACTTACCAAAAGTGAAATGGAGTGCATTTTGAGATGGGTCTCATTTAATGTGAAGTGTAAGCCTCATATAGTACCTAATGAGTTGTAAGTCTTATTGCAATTTTTTTCAAAAAAAAAATGTTGAAGCGGGCGGCCTTATATTGTACAATTCTAAATCATGGATAACATATTTTTATCACTTCCAATTTGTTTAGAATGGTCACGAAATTAAGTCTAACAAATGTTAAATGGAAAAAGGGATTGCCATGTACATAGACTACACATGAAATTGAAAAATAATAAATATATTATTTACAAGAATAATATGAAAGATTACACAGAAAAATTTTAGAATACTTGCCAAAAACTCTAGTAGGAGAGAACTATCGAGTTCTATGCTTCTCATATAATTTTTCAGGCAACTCTCGTTACATAATCAAGTCTACAGTATAGCACAAAGCAATTATATATTTATAAATAAGAGAAATACAAAAAAAAAATCCTTGTAAAAGAGAGAGGGGCAGCCGCTAGTCCTCCCATTGATTATGTTCAATTTACAAGTCTTGAATTGTGTAATTAGTCGCACTTTTGTCCCTAGTTTAATTCTTCATAACATGTTTTTATTGTGAGTGAAATCATTCATTTTTTTAATCCTTTTGAGAGATAGTGCCACAAAATTACAAGGAAAGAGGGAGTTAAACTTCATTGTGTCCCTTGTTTCTAAATTTTCGTGAAGCCAATAGTAAGAGGACGTAGTTTCATCTTGATGTCTTCATAATGATTGAAGTCTTGTTTCATAGTTCCACATTTGATGAAGAAGAAAAATAAAAAAATAGGTGTTAAGGTTTCAATGTGAGCAATCATCAAACGCCATTATTCTTGGCCGATGAAGGAAAGAATATATCTTGCAAACAATATCAAAGAAAGAGATTCTTATCTTTTAAGCTATGAACAATGGTCCCACAAATAATAAACAAAGACAATAAATTAGGGATAAAAATGAACTGAACCAAACTGGAAAGTCGATTGCTCAAGCTTTTTTTGCTAGAAGCAAGCTCAAGCTCAAGCTCAATTCAACTATTCATAGTAGTGTTAGAGCTTGATTCGCTTAAAATTATGATTAATTGAGTTTAGTTTTAGGTCGGCTTATTCATCAAGCAAACGAGCAATATCGAGCAACCTTTAGTAATCTAAACAAGCCATATTGAGTTTATTAATGCGCAAAATGTTAACCTTAAAAAAGAGATTTTAATTAAATGAACTACTAAATAAATAAGTATTTAATGTGCATAAATAAGTGGCTTGTGTTTATGAACAAAACCATTTAATATATAGAAGTATAATTCGCCCACATAATCACATACTCAAAATATTTATAATTGATTCTTAAATAAGCATATTATCAATCTTAATTGAGCTTCTTAATAAGCTTATTCATAATGTATGAATGATATTATTCATGATCACTAACAAATCGAACATCAAGTAAAACTAATTTGTTCATTTATTAATCAACAGTTTGTAAATAAAACTTATTTGATGAATTAATCAAATAATCATGAATGAGCTCTAAATGAGTGGAGCAATGAATAGCATGTCGAGCATATTGTTTTATTTGTAGCCCTAAATAAAATCATAAATGATAAATTTTTTTTTATGTAAAACCTAATAAGAGAAAAACCATAGGTAACTTACATTATTAGTAGTTATGAATTACAATTGATGATGCAAGTATTCGTCAATAAAAGGCAAATGAAGTTTTTTTCTAGTATCCTCAACATTATCAACATAGTAAGATCGAGAACTAGGACTAAGAAGGCAAAGTTGACATGACCTGAAGCTAACAAATAGTGTACGAAGGTCTAACAAGCTTCCGAATATGGATGTCAAATTGGGTCAACAGATCATATTTGGGTCTGACCAAATTCAACCCAACTCAAATTCATGTTTGACCACCAAACTTAACCCAGCCCAAATAGGTGTGACTTGAACACTACCGATTTATTAAATAGGTCAAAAACTTGAATTCGAACTTGACCCGCCTTCAACCAACTAGCCTGAACATGACCATAGTGACGACAAGCATCTCAAGTCAAAGTCAAGTCAAATTCGAGTCAATCTCAAATTTGCGGATCAACCCAACCCAAAAAAAATTAAATATGACAATCATTTAAAGTCAAACTTAACCTGAAAGTTAATCCAATCAACCCAAATTTATTTTTTTTCAAATTGAGTTTGTCTCGGGTCAATTATTGACAGTCCTACTTCTGAGAATGGTCAGGACAGCCCTTGTAAAGGCACCCGTTATACAATCTTAAGACAATGGACAAGGCAACACTAAGAAGTTGAGAAGGCAATCAAGGATGGCCAGCATGGTCATCCTCCTGGAGGCAAAGGTGGCAAAAGCTTGGGAAAGAGACAAAAGTAATATAACCTGGCAACAAATAAGACGACTCAAAAAGTTCATGGGTAGTCTTTTAAGGATGGCTAAAACGATCCTCCTAGAGATGAATAAGGCACGAGCTTAAGGTGGTAGACAAGACAACACAAAAAGGTTGTAGAGGTCATTATATAAAGTTAAGATCGTCCAGCATTTGAAGATAGAGATAGCAAAACCTGAAGTTTGTGAATAAGACAACAAAAGGATGTTGCAAAGGTGACTAAAAATAGTTCGAACAATCCTCCTTTTGGAGGTAGAGATGAGATGATCTAAAGGTGGCAAAAGAGGTGGCATTAAAGCTTGGTGGATGTGACTAAGAACAATCAGGGTCTTACAAAAATAAAGATGACATGACCAGAAGGCAAGAAAACACAATAAAGTCATGGAGGCGAATGAGGGCATTCAAGACGATCCTCCTTCTGAAAGCAGAGATGACGTAATATGAAGGTGGAAGGAGAGGAACACAAAAAAGGTCATACAAGTTATTGAAGCCAAATAAGAAAATTCTGCTTTTAAAGGTAGAGATGACATGATCTAAACGTAATAGTGATACCATTTAACCCAAATAATAATAGACAACAAATAATATTACTGAAAAAGATAATAGGCAGTTACAACCAACACATGGAAAGGGAAATAACAATACCATACACAGCTCAACTAGATGCATATCCCAAAGGAGAAGGCGGATGGTTATGTAGGATGTATGAGAGGTAATGGCACTTTGTAGGAGGGAATAAGGCGTTGCGGTGGGGTGGCTGGGCTGCAGAGGAAAGGGGTGGGTTCTGCTGGTGGAAAGTTGTTGATCCGCGAAGATAGCAGGAGCAGTAGGGAGGGGAGTATTTGGCGGTTGAGTGATTGGTTGGGGGAGGGAGAATAACTAGCTAGAGGGGTGGTGGGAGAAGAAGGATGGCAAGGAGGGTTGTCTGGTGTTTCCTATAGAGAGGAGAGGGGACAACGACCATGGGAAGAAGGGGGTTGCAAGAAAGGCAGCAACTGTGGCGGTCTTGGGCGTCTGCAGCAAGGAGGAAGGAAAACAACAGCGGAGGGAGGTTGTGGAGGATGAAAAAGTCGAAGATAATCACTACCTTGGAAAGAGATATAGTCGAGGCATCAGTTGCCCTTGGATACATCCTTAGAAGAGAAGACTTGTAGATGCTGACGACTGTCTCAACATAAAACAAACAAAAAACTAACCTTAAACTCCTACGAAAGCAAATATATAATAACAGGATAACAGGATAACTAGGAGTAACTCAAGATGACCGGTCGACTCCTCAAAAGGGACGAAACCTGGACCGATTCTGTCCAAGTGAAGCAGCCAGTTCACTGCTTTGTTTGCGGGATCTCGCATTAGGAGCGCAAAATGTTGCCGTGTCAGATGGGTGATGAGACATAGTAAGGTTGTTGAGATAATAAAGGGCAGACTGAACATGGCCCCTTCTAAAGATAGAGACAACACAACTTAAAGTTTGAACATGAGGAAACACATGAATGTAGTGGAGGTAAATGAGGGTGGTCAAAGTAGTCCTCATTTTAGAGGTTAATGTGTTATAAGATATGGTTGATGGAAACTTTAAGTGGGGAGTCAAAAGATACAATGCAAGTAAAAGTTTAAAATGTCCCCGAAGAGAAGAATTGGGGATCATTTTAAATGTAAGAATTTCTCATCAACAACAAATCAATCAAGTTCTACCATAGACTCATCGAGAATTGACAAAATGATCCCACCCATGAAGCAACTCAATCACAATAGGGTCAGTCGAGCCAACAAGAGATGACGATGGATGAATGATGGATCTTGCTAAAATCATCTCAAATTGACATAATGTATATACCATCATGCATAACCAACAATATAGATCCAATAGTCAACAACAAACCCAGTATAATATAGATATATTAAATTTTTATATTGTATTTAAAAAATTTAAATTTCAATAATTTTTAGATAATTTTAGCTAGGATTGCAAATGAAATTTTTTTTTTTTTTTTTTTGTTAGATATGCAAATACATAAGAATTAGGTGGTATGCATGTGAAAGCAAAAACAAATTGATATGTGTGCCTATGCCCGCCTCCGCCCACCTGTGATCCCACTTCCTTCCCTCCCATCACAAAAAACTGTGTTGAATATGTAAATACATAAGATTTGTGTCCTATGTATGTAACTACTGAAAAACCGTCACAATGTCCCGCCTTCCTCCGGTCTCATGGCCCTCCCTATCCATCATTTAATCCCACATTGCAAATGCCTGGAGAAAAAAAAAAAACTTAACTCATGTTCTATAAATTATCAATAGCAATTTTTTGGGAGGCAACCTCACGCTTTACTATGGGCATGCGACTGTGGTAGAATTTTAAAATCAAAATTCAATTTTGTAATTTATTTTTACATTTGGTTTATTAAACTTTAATAAACTATTATTTTGAGTCGACCACAAGCTTAATTCCGACATGCAAGTTTGAATGACTCGAACACAAATAGTCTATTCACTAGCCATTTCAAACACGAGCAGAGAACAGACAATAAAAAATTCAAACGAGTTGAACACAAACAAGCTCTAGGCTTGCTCAACTCGGCTCGTTTACACCCTTAATTACATTGATAGGAATAATTCTAATGAATTTTTTTTTCTAATGAAGTTTGTTGGTCAAATTTGGGATCATCAAAAAAACCACAAGATAAGTTGTCATTTTAAAATCAAAATATTTATCTCCTCAAGATAAACATTTTTCAAAACAGAACATGAAACTAAGACTTAGGGAGGTTGCAGGAACATCAAAAAGTTTCCAACTTTTGTCAAATGACAACATTCAAACAAACTCATGCCTTGTCATGATCCAACTCCAATGAAATGCTCATGACAAGTTTCTCCAAGGGATCAGTCTGACATCCCCATAAAAGCTGACTGCAGTGATAACCACGCCCACCACCGCTCGAACCAAGCGCCTGACTGCCCTTCCAGAAGCAAGACAAGACCAACCGATAAGAGCCAGTTCTATTCTCACTATTGAAGTCATTGGAACTATATCAACGAGTTAGTCATTTCAAAACTAAATCTGCATCATTTTAAGTACATTCAATCTCTGAAATAATTTCCAAAGTCAAAATTCAGTGTTAATTTATCATTTTTTACACATTATCATATAAGGATTTTTATGATCCCAACAATAATGCTAAAGATTACAATAAATCTCCATTAGTAACTCATTCAAAAGTAATAACTTAGATATCATGTCCTCGAAATTAATAACTTCGAACTTATGCTTCAACCAAACTCAACATATAAAAATTAGCAACTATACCAAAGAGAAATTCACGCCACATATCCCCAACTAAAACATTCACAAAAAACTTCACCATCAGTTCCAAACAAAGACGAAATATAGCTAGCAAGAAAATTCTATCACCCGACCCTTCAAAATTTCAGGAAACAACCTAACCAGCAAACCCCAGAAACCGAAATGCCATTACCAACACCTTTCACAAACCAAAGCTTCCATAACTCTATAAACCCTGAATCACAGTCCAACGTTCAAAAACATAGAAAGGGGGAAATCTCACCGTGGAAATAGCTCTCACAATCCAACGGGAGCTCGAGGAAGAAGAAACGGGGTGAGCACGAACCGATCCCGCGGGATTCACCACCGCTGAGGGTCTCAACCCGCGGTACACATTTACATGGAGCTTCAATTCCTTCTCAGCCACAATTGCGTTCGCCGCCGCCGCCGCCGCCGCCGCCATCTCCAAGAGCCCGAACGAAGCGCGAGACGAATGAAGAAGCGATAACAAACGGAGAGAAGATGGAGGAGAAGTGGAAGAGGGAGATAGTGCTCTTCGCCGGCCTCGTGAGGGTCTCCGGTCGCCGGAAAATAAGCGGGGATGTGAAGAGCTGCAGCTGCAAGATGGCGAAATGGAATTTGATTCCTATGATGTTTCCACCCCGAAGGAAGATAAAAAGGAGGGCTTGTGGTTTGTAAAAAATATTACGTCAGGATCATTACTCCAATGAGGGGTGTCACGTAGGCAATGGTCCCAATAAGGGGGTGCCACGTAGGCACCACGGTGGGACCATTGCCTACGTGGCACCCCCTCATTGGAGTACTGATGCATCAGTACTCCTGAGGTAATATTTTTTCTGTGGTTTGAGCGCGCTTTTGGTGCGGTGTGTCGTGCGGCGGAAAAATTATTCCATGCGGATCGGAGTGTATTCGGACCGTACGGATGTATTTCTGTGATCCTCATAATCTACGGTCAGGATCAGACACTAGACATCCGTACGTAATAATTTCTCTGTGCGGCGGCGGTGTGCTGTCTTTTTTCTATTTTTTATTTTATTTTAATAAAATTATATTTTGTTTGTGTTCCAAAAAATTGAAAATTATGTTTTCTAAAAAAATAATAATAAATTCTTTAATATAAAATATAAAATATTATTTTTTAAATATTTTTAATACTTTAATAATAATAATTTTAAATTTAATTTATTTTGAGTATATTTTATATTAATATTTTTTTTAGGATGAGCCGATTTACAAGCTAACAAGTCGAGTCTAATTTGAGTTTGGCTTGTTAGCTCATCAGGCTCAGTTCACGAGCCACTTTTGAGCCTAGATCAAGCAGACTCACTCATCGAGTTGACTCGCTTACACCCTTGTTACTATGTGGGTATGCTTTAGGAAAAAAAAAAAGAAATTGATAAATCGGAGTATGAATATCAGGGCGTGCTTTTATGTTTGCTCAAGGGTTATCAGGGCTGCCGGTTCAATGAACCTGGTCGGGATTTTTTAATGGTCGAGCCATATTAAAAATATTTACATGGGCCTAAGCTATAACTCATGGGCCTTTCTGTTCTTATGCCCAATTCTTCTTTATCTACATATAAGACGCCTAAATTTTACAATTTTCTACATTTAAATTATCCAATCTTTAATATCATATTAAAAATATTTTTATTTTATTTTTCAAAGTGAAATACATTTTTCATAAATAGATAAGATGTCATACATGTAAGAAATTGAAGCTTATATGTTACATATATAGATATAAAAGATTTAAGTGAAACGTATGTAAATCTTTATTTAATGAAAACCTTTTTGGGATATATTATCTACTTAGAAAGGAATGATGATGCTTCCAAAATTTCTTTAACTTGTAAATAATTTGTAAATAGAGAGAGTGTTCACATAAATAATAGAAAAGTAGTATGATAAATAATGTGTGTGTGTGTGTGTCATTCGCTGCAACTCTTTGATAGTGCAATCTTTTGTATGTCTCATGGGGTCACGAGTTCGATCCCGTCTGAGTGCATCTGTCTTGTAGTGCGGGATTGAGTGATTAGACACATGAGTGTGGCTTGGGGCTCATATCACAGTCTAACTGCCTAACACAATTCAAATTGAATCGAGCGGGTCAGTAAACTTAAGATCAATTTGACTAATTTAATGCTAAGTATAATTAACTCGAATGACCAAAATGTGCAGAATTGAACTAGGGCGTCAACAGCGCCATCGACCCCGTCGACGAGGAGATTTTCCCGAGACTCCAGAATTAATTCATTATGAAGGTCCGCAGACGGCGCCCTCGAGGCTGCCGACAGCGAGGTCGGCGGTTATGCCCAATCAGGCTTTGGATAAGGCCAAATTTTGAAGGGAAGCTTAGACAACTCTTAGGAAAGCTCATCCATAACTTTAAAAGAATATTTTGGCCAAAAATTAGAGAGGTTATGGAGGTTAGAAAGGTTTCATTAGTGTGTAGAGAGTTTACTAGAGTGTCAAAATTGTGAAGAATTCTTCGAGAGACTATAAGAGTGGAGGGGAAGTGAGAGATTTCTTCATCATTGCTGCTTCGAAGAAGAATTCTATGCGCTGCAAAGAAAGTAGGAGATTCAGAGGAACTTCGAGAAGTTTTCTTGGGGAGAAATTAGAGATAAGTTATTTACTTGTTGTAGTTTGTATGACTTTGATTTTATATATGAACTCCGAGTTTTGTTGTGTTTTCCCCATGAGATCTGAGTAGTTTTCTCTGTCTTTCTCCTTGTCTCGAGATTTGTGAAATGGTGATTTGAATTGGTGAAGCCATGAAAATGTTTAAGAAATTGTGACGATCTTTTCACTTTGATCTTATTTTACTTTCAATTTGGCCAATTGATTTGTTAAAATATGTTGAGTTTTACAACTAAAGTGAAGATTACATCCAAGATTCAGGGAGGTCAAAG